AGGTGGCGGTTGTGCTTGCAGCCAACCCCGTGCAGGATGTTTGGCATTTGCCAGAGAACACCAAGATTGGCAAATTTGCCACTGGCACCCTGTGCTCTTCACAGATGAAAGCAGGTTCACACTTAGCACCTGTGACAGACGTGACAGGGTCTGGAGATGCCGTGGAGAACGTTCTGCTGCTTGCAACATCCTCCAGCATAACCGGTTTGGCAGTGTGTCAGTAATGATGTGGGATGGCATTTCTTTAGGGGGCCGCACAGCCCTCCATGTGCTCACCAGAGGTAGCCTGACTGCCATTAGGTACCGAGATGAGATCCTCAGACCCCTTGTGAGACCATATGCTGGTGCGGTTGGCCCTGGGTTCCTCCTAATGCAAGACAATGCTAGACCTCATGTGGCTGGAGTGTGTCAGCAGTTCCTGCAAGACGAAGGCATTGATGCTATGGATTGGCCCACCCTTTCCCCAGACCTGAATCCAATTGAGCACATCTGGGACATCATGCCTCACTCCATCCTCCATTGCACCACAGACTGTCCAAGAGTTGGGGGATGCTTTAGTCCAGGTGTGGGAGGAGATCCCTCAGGAGACCATCCGCCACCTCATCAGGAGCATGCCCAGGCGTTGTAGGGAGGTCATACAGGCACATGGAGGCCACACACACTACTGAGCCTCATTTTGACTTGTTTTAAGGACATTACATCAAAGTTGGATCAGCCTGTAGTGTTTTTTTCCACTTTAATTTTGAGTGTAACTCCAAATCCAGACCTCCATGGGTTGCTAAATTTGATTTCCATTGATAATTTTTGTGTGAGTTTGTTGTCAGCACATTCAACTATGTAATGAACAAAGTATTTAATAAGAATATTTCATTCATTCAGATCTAGGATATCTTATTTTTGTGTTCCCTTTATTTTTTTGAGCAGTGTAGAAAGATTCTAGAGATCTAGATATTGATATATAAAGATAGATAATAGATATTAGTTGATATATAAAGATTCTAGAGATCTACTGATATTTATATAAAGATATAGAAATAGATATTAATAGTTGATATATAGAGAGATCTAGATATTGATAAAGATGATAGATAATAGATATTAATATCTAAATTTAGATGTCATATATATTATATATTATATATTATATAGATACTGATATATAAAGATATAGAAATAGTGATATTGATAGTTAATATATATATATAAAAAGATTAGAGATCTAGATATTGATATAAAAAGATGACATAAGATTAGTTGATATATAAATATTCTAGAGATCCAGATAATATTTATATAAAGATATAGAAATAGATATTGATAGTTGATATATATATATATAGAAAGAGTACAGATCTAGATATGTAAAGATGATAGATAATAGATATTAGTGCGTGTATATACATACATACATACATGCGTACATACATACATAATGATTCTAGAGATCTAGATACTGAGAGATAGATGATATTGATAGCTGATATATAGATGACACTGATAGGTAATATATAAAGGCAGAGGGTAGATTGAAATATTGATGCGGTGGATGAACTACAAAAATAGATATCCAGAGACAGACGATAGAGAGACAGAGGATAGAGAGACCGGCCAAAGCCTCTACTTGCCCCCCTCTGCTCCCCTCCCCCCCGGAGACCCACCGCGTCGTTGTCGGCGTCGCCCAGGGAGACGGCGCGCGGGAAGAGGCTTCCGCCGAAGTCGAGAGCCACCCGGCGGACGTAGCTCACCGAGCGCATGGCCGCTCTAGCGCCGGCGGCTCTCGCCGGCTGCGGCGGAACTTCCGGTTCCTGCGCCATTTTCCTCCCCTCCCCGGAAGTATACCACGGGAAAGAGCCGCGCGTTGCCTGAACGGGCTCACGCTTGCCCCCTGCCGGCGAGGAAGGGGAGGCGCTCGCAGGAGAGACAGCCAAAGTTGCCAAATGAACAAACTGGAATAACATTTGGGAGACAATGAAAGCTGTCAATCACTACCAACCCTGATTGGCAGGTGGCACCCTTCATGGTAGGCAGTCCAGGCAGTCCTCGACTTAACGGCCCCAATGGAGCCCAACGTTTCAAAGTTGGATCAGCCTGTAGCCTTCTCTGGAAGAAGCAGCCGCGGAATTTAAGACATGCAGCGAGTATTATTTCCGCACAATATTGGGGAAAAAATGGAAGATACACCGCGAGATGAAGAAATAGTGAAGGAGATACTAGACGGTGCAGAAATGGATAAGACTGACACTGAAAATGAAACAGAACAGAGCGTGCAGGATGCTACCCAACATGGAATTTATTTTAGCAACGGCTGCAAAAAAAGGATGGAGATTTAAGAATAATTCATATTGTTAAGTAAATGAAATACCCAGACAACATGCTGTTTATTAAGCACTAAGAAATGCATTTAATATAAAACCAATAAAATAATACTTAATAATAATTTTAAACAATGAAACTGAAGAATTTAATCTTCATCATAACCAAAAGGTCCAAAATATTTTTATCTTTAGAATCGATCGTCAACAGTCACGTATTTCCAGGAAAAAAGAGGTCTATTCTGAATATTGTTTACTAGTTCAATACCTGCTACAAAACTATATGGTCAGGTTTGGTTTTGGGGAGGAAGATAAGGAGGGAAAAAATTCTGCCTCTGGCTACCAGCATCCATCAGTATTCATCTGCCTAGCATCCTGTCAGTGTGTGAGAGTTGAGGGCTGTTTGGAAACGGAAAGAATATTTGCTGTGTGAGCAAGGAGACAGCAAGGAGCCTGGTCGAGGCTTAACTCAACTTTTCTGTACTAAAGCTGCTTGGTGCTGTGACACTGAAACTGAAACTCCTCTCCTCTGCTTCTGTTTTGCATTTGGAAGATATTTCTTTCCAGGTGGGGAGGGGGAGTAGAACTCCTTAGCATCAGAGCGTGTTAATAGTAATAATATAGGAAATACTCTAAATGCTCTGATGGTCATTTGAAAAATCCTTTCTTAGCCCCTAGAAGCCAAGAGGAACATACGTGCCCAAATTTCAAGTTTGTAGGCTTTACGGTTCTGGAGATTTTGTGATGATGCGTGAGGAGTATTTTGCTTTTATATATTTAGATTCACACCCCTATTTGTGATTCCTTAAATGCTTGAATTATTAATTTTATTTGTTCATTGGGTTAATATCCTTCACCTTTTCTAGCAAGAATTCAAGAGGAATGAGCACAGTAGTCCCAATTCCACCACCCCATCCAATACAGGTAGTCTCAACTTACAACCACCATTGAGCTAAGTTGCTAAGTGAGACATTGAATGTAAATCAGGTGACCATGGGAAGGCTGCAACAGTCATAAGTGTGAAAAATGGCCATAAGTCACTTTTTTTAAAGTGCTGTTGTAACGGTGACTAGGACTCCCTGTAATATATTTATAACAGACTAAGAAAAGACTTTGCAGGGATATTTATTAATGAATTTTAAAGATTTTTATCTCTTATTTTCAATGGAAAAAATAAAAAAGAGAAAGGCTTAAGATGATACCTATAGTGCTGATAAAAATAAATCTTAAGTCCAAAAAGTGTGATAAAAATTAGGAATCCTTCACAAGTATTTTTTGTGAATATAAAAAAAAAGAGTTTAAAGATGAAGTCAATCAAAGTAAAGTAAGATTTGGAAACCAGACACACAGGTAAATATTGCATTCAAAATGACAAAATGAAGCAACGAAACTGAGTCTGGGTAAATTTGGACTTAATTACTGGCTCTTTACAAATTTTTTTTGCTTCTCAAGTTGCGTTCATAATCTGCATTGCTAAAAAATCTACATAAGTTAAGAAATGTGTCATTTAGCAATCATCGGTATGGATAGATACAACTACATGGTTGTATGTTCAACACTAACCCATCCCTTCAGGTCTTCCTTTAGCTGATATGACATTGTTTCCCCTTGAATCCCAGATTTAGCAGAGAATGTGAATGGTCAAATAACTTAAGAAAATAAGAAACAATTTGCTATTTCAAACTAACAAGGCAATGAGTAGCATTAGAGATGCTCTTTTAATAGAACATGTTAGAATCATTGGCGAGGGTAAAATACACAAACTCTTGGTCTTCTGTGAAGAAATTACACAGAGGAGTAGAATTAAGGACCTAATTGGTACTGGTATTACCACTAGCTATATGAATACAAATCTTTATGGGTACCTTAATTGCATAATTTCCTTCCTTCCTTCTCAGTCCTTCCTCCTTTCATCCATCCATCCATCTATCATATCTTTCTCTCCCCCCATCATCTATCTATCTATCTATCTATCTATCTATCTATCTATCTAT